CCACATTGCAGCTCCTGCTGACCTTCCAGCCCCGGCTCAGCCTTCTGGGCAACATTCCTTTCCTCCCAACTACCTGGTCTATTCTGAATGACCCTTTTTCCAATAGGGAACTAAATGTGACCGCTCATTCCCAAGCATATAATGAGGGTAGAGTTGACCATTGGAAACCTACCTACTCCTCCTCTACTGGGTTCACTAGGAATGTGTGATATGACCTAAGGATAATTTGGAAAGGAATTTCACTGACCCTTGCATCCCTGATGCACTAGAATCCTGCCTGATGTGTCATTTACCTAGGAGCTTGCAATAGCATTAGGGCAGAGAATTGACCTCCAGGAAGGGGTTCCTTCAACTCTGTGATGCCTTCCAGAGAACACATCTCAGCTTGTATCTGGGCTCATATCTCAACCCCAACCCCACCAGCATCAACATTCCAAATATGAGCCACAGAGCTGGGCGCTATGCCAAGGGCTCACCTCTACCACGTGCTTCACCTTCTGATTTACTTCCTATGCCCAAAGTCTCAAGATTCTTCTTTTTCAGACAGCAATAATTGGCTTACACAGTGATATGGTTTGGATATTTGGCCCCTTCAAATCACATGTTGAAATTTGATCCCTAGTGTTTGAGGTGGGGCCAGGTTGGAGGTATTTGGGTCATCAGAGAAGATCCCTCTGGAAAGGCTTGGAGCTCAACATGCGATGGGTGACTTCTCACTTGTCAGTTCACATGAGGGCTGGTTGTTTAAAACAGGCTGGCACCACCTCCTCCCTCTCTTGCTCTGTCTTTCACCACGAGAGGTGCTTGCTGCCCTTCGCCTTCTACCTGGATTGGAAGCTGCCAGCAGCCCTCCCCAGAAGTACATGCTGGTGCCACACTCCTGATCCAGTCAGCACATCATTGAGGCAAATAAGTCTCCATAATGTTTAAATTGCCCAGCCTTAGCTATTTCCTTTATGGCAACACAAAATGGAGTAACACACACAGTACCCTGTATTATACAAATTAATTTTAATATGGTGTACTATGCTCTCTAAATCATCCAGTGCTTTTGGTTGCATTTAAAAATGCATCATTAGAATTCAGAAAAACAAAATTGTTCTTTGTTTTTACGTGTTTTGACTATGATTGTTGAAAGACTTTTGGTTCTAGTTTTAATTATTTAACTTAACAAAGTCTGCTAATAACAAGACCAGGAATGTGGCTACTCCCCCAGAGAACAGTCATATAACATCCTGTTCCTGCTCTGGTCGTGGAGAA